ATGTTGCTCCTCACGACGAGCGAAGTTGAAGGTCTCGGCGATTGGGGTCTTTGGTCCTCCAGCTGGAACAGGGGTTGAGAACTTTTCATCCAGGGCAGCTTGGCCACCAAAGGTGTTATCGCACATTATGGTTATTTTACCAAGAATTTCACAAAATTTGATGTAATAATCTCTCACGGGGTCGCTCAACACGTGGGTCAAGACTGGGCGAGATATCTGCTCCTCTGCAGCGCCAAATGTCGTGCTTTTCAAACTCTCCGATCGTGGCAATGCCAGTACGGGGGATGTGGAGACTCGTTCAAGACCTGGAGGTGCTTCGTAGAACTCGGGAAATGGCGGTTGGCCTTGTTCTCCTTTCTCCAAGTCCGACATGATGCGCAAAAATGCCCGGATACCCACAACGATCCTGTCTGGATCAAGTTGCTCGATTTTCAAATCCTTGTTGTTTACAAATGACTCGGCACTGATCAACGGGAAAATGACATTACGAAAACAATATTCCGGGTACCTGAATCCAACGATACGGATAATCTGGATCAATGGATCTGTGACCGAGGTATCAGATGCAATGATGCTTCGTCTCGTTGCGGGCAAAACAAGCTTGAAAATGTCATCTAACTTCCGCGTCGCACCTTGAGGGCTGTCGTTTGTCCGATAGAGATAGGTCCAGAGAAGTCGGGATATTATTTGAAGACACAACGGCTTCATGGCCTTATCTTTGATCTTGGTATGCATAGGCGCAAGAACTTGCGGCCAGCGAGAGGCGAAGTGCTCGGGCGAGGAAACGCACATGATGGTTGCATGTAGAGAAAACGCGACATTCCAGTGCCTGGGCTTGGCGGACATTTGAGCCAGACGGGTGCTAATTGCGGAGAGAACCTCTGCCCATTTGGGGTGCATCAAGTGGCTATTGAAGGCCTTCGCAGCAATAGGTAAGAGCAACCTTTCGATAACCTGGCAAAAAGCCCATTTGACCTTCTGCCCATGGGCCTTACTAAACAGCCTGCCAAGCGAGATGAGAAATTCGCACGACCGCTCCCAGGCGTCTTCAGGAAGGATCTTGATACGAAGCTGCTGGATCCCCCCCAGGACAAGCTCAACCCTCCCTTCGTTGTCACGGCCTCCTAGGGACGTAGGGCTTTTCAAGGCGCGCTCTTGGAATGAGCTGTCTAGATCCTCCAAAAACCGACGGGTTACTGGAACAAAGTTGATGTCGCTCATATGCCCCAGCAGCTCAGCGAATAAATTCCAATTTGCAAGCTTCAGCGGAGAAAGCGACAGCGCCTCGGGATCAGCTGTTTTGAGCTGACCGAATATAATACTCTCTAATTTGTCTTCCATTTCGGGTGTTATCGATTGAAGACTGCTTTGGCTGACAACCTCGATCAAAACTCGGCAGAGAATGTAAATGGATACCGTAGAGCGCCGCTCAGCTTGTGCGACATACTCTTGTTTTGCAGCCAAGGACGTATTTCCAGCAATACTGCCCTCCGTTCCACCAGAACCTGGGGCCCCATTCTGCACGGGTTCAGTATTTCGTCGCAGCAAAGGACCGGCAGGGACAGCATTGCGCGATTGCAGATGATTTCTAGCCTCGTTGGCAGTGTCACTCTTGCCCTTTCTCCACAGCATCATCGAGTCAATGAGGGCTTTTGGTTTTGGGCTTGCGATGTGGCCCAGGGCGACAATCAGTTGGTCAAAGGCAGGATCAACTCCTTTCCCACAAATTTGTTCAATATTAGGTTCAGATTCAATGGCCATAGTACTACATTCATTCAGTTTCTCCTCGGCTTGAGCAATGAACTAGGTTTTGTTAGATTAGCCAAAACTGTACACTGAAGGCGAGGAATGGGTAACACAAACCGATGTGAAGAGAACGTGAAGGGCATATTCTCCAACCGTTTTCTGGTCGTCCTTGTGGTGCCTAGAGCTGTGAGAATGATGATGACCTTGTTCGCGTCTCGTTTTACTCGATTTTCGTTCAATCCTGCGCTGAGTCGCGGGAAGAGAAAAGCTCTCGTTTATCGATCCAGTTCTCTGCAGGGGGAACCCGCTTGGGGTGGTTGAAGAGGCATCCATCGCGGGAGGGTGCCGCGGGTGGTGTCCAATATCTGTCTCGTGCCACCCAGTTGGGGTCTGTATATCTGGTCTTTCAATACCAGGGGCTCCGTGTGTCATGTTACGAGGGCTGAGCGGGCTTGATTTCGAGCTTGCGAGACTGCCATTTCTCGAATGTTGTATTCCATTCACAAAGGACGCTTTCCTATGGTGACCATACGTCGCGCTCTTGGGGTCAACGACACGTTCCGTCAGGGCCGATCGGGGAAAAGACGTCGGGATGCGTGGCGAAGATAGGGCTTGCGGAAGTTGTGGTATCTTCTCTATCGAAGATTCTCTCGAGTGTGTTACGGAGCGAGACGTAAGTGGTGAACCAAGCGATGGAGCGGGGTACAATGGTCGAGGCCACCCAGTTTCATGTTCGTCTACCTCATTCAATGTTGTGACGGATCGAGACGGAAACTTGACGGGGTCTTGGTGATGCTCTGGCAGCGTTTGTGGTGGTACTAAAGCAGTTGGCAAATCAGCTGGGGCTGGCCGCCTCGTTAAATGATGGTCTGGGGTTTCGATGGTTGACCCTGGAGGGGAGGTGCTGGATGAAGGTTTGACGATATGCAGTGGCAGGTTCTCGAACTTACCCATTTCGAGTCGCACAAGCGCTTAAGTCCCATGGTCTAGTCTACTCGATCGAGAGCAATGGATAGCTAGGGATGCATTCCGGCGTCAGAGGAATCGTAGGCGAGTGGTCCCTAGGAGCGGCGTGGGCCTCGTTGGTTCTCCTCTGCGATCAAGTAAAGCCGCTTTGCAGACCCTGCCAGTAAATCAGAGATACCTCAGACTCGCAGTAGGGTAGATGAGGATCCGATGGTCGAGCGTAGCCAGGCGATGGTTGGCTGTCAAAACGAGATCACTCCTCATACGTCCCAGCAGGTAGTTGGAATCAATGATCCTGACCATGCATCGTCCAGCCCAGACCACTGTCCTTGGATAAGGCACAGACCAATGAGGCTCGTGGTGAGCAACGCAGGGATCGAATATTACTGTTCAACCTCCATCCATTTCCTCTCTCCAGTTTGAGCTCCCATGCGACATGCAAGGGCGGTGGCCTATCAGAAGCCGGCAAGCAGCGGTTGGCGGGGCAAGGAGGGGCGGCTCTCACTGGCTACCGCCCCGTATTTCGTGGGTTAGCGTCGCTGGAGCCCAATCCAGGGTCCGTTCCGCTGTGCCACCACCTCCAAATCTACCGCCGTCCTCTCTCCAACTTCTCCGGCTCTCCTCAGACACACATGTGACACAAGATGGGGGCACCTAGTGGGAAAAGGCACAGATAATAAGTTCTGTGTTCCTGTTTCGGTACTGAGATAGTCCATGCACCCCCGCCACGTGGTGAGATGGGACATACTGCCTGCCACGAACTGGCTGTAGCATTCCCCTCTGAGAAATGAGCTAGTGATTAAGCTCCTCTGAAGTTCAGCCACAATGCATGGCCGGTCTTGGACACAGATCTATGAGAACGGGCCCGTCACTACGTAGGACCATCAGGGCCGAGGTTATCAGCCGAATACTAATGTTACAATGACACAATGGCTCTTTCTCAACCTGTTCGGTCCGCTACCCTACAGCCCCAGAGGCAACATTGCACGTGAGGTATCATAGTTGTTACAGGGGAAAAATGGCTGGAGGTCATCGTTTCCTTGGTGGGTTTGGAACTCGGTTTCGGTTTCTTTTTCTTTTAGACATTAAATACAGAAAGGCTGCGGTATATTTTGCTCAGGAGAGAGGGGTCAAAAAATCGGCTCAATCGAAAGTCGGGATGGTCCACCGCAGATCGCATAAGACTCAAGACACAAACTACCAATGCAAAAGGCCGTCAGGACTTCGAAACAAGACTTATCCAATAGCGAAACTTAGTTGCATATCGGACTACCTGGTAAAAAGCGCGTATTTCGCATCCCGGTGCGAGCCATGGGGACGTATTCAATCTTTCGATGTTCTGTTGTGGTTGGCCAAAGCGGAAATATATCGGAATCGCAAATAAAGTACGCTTTTGTACGTAGGATGAGCCCAAATGAACGGAATATCCCGAGGTTAATCCATTAGAATATGTATTAGTGTCTATGTGGACGGCGGATTGATCCCGGAGAACCGTCGTCAACTCCGAGCCGGACTGATAACAAGTCCAGATGGATGCGAAACTTCGGTGAATATTCCCGGATTCGGTGCGTGCCAAGGGCCGGAATCTTCGAGGCACCATCTCAGCCTGCATCAAGTTTCCCATGCATTGATGTAGCGATCGACGAGGGAAACTGACCTGATATTCGTATTCGTATCCAAGCCGCTGCCCTGGAACTAACACTACCTAAGTACAGACAGCAGCGTTGGAATAGGTCGGGATCTCGGCAGGGTGATCAACCCGGCATCCGACCTCAACACCGCGGCATCTCCTGTAGTTTCCTATTCTGCAACGCAGGCGACGTGGAAAAAAGATCGGTTGGTCGGTATCACTTAGGGCACGAGGTAAGTTCTGCACAAGGTCTCCGGACTTCTGAGTCGGCTTGATATGCCCCTTCTGGTAAAGTCCACCCGGCAATATCTGAAATCTGTTAGGTAGTTAGGTACCTAGAGATTCGCACAAGGCCAGCCCCCACTACGCTCGCTATCGATAGGAATGATCCTGGTTTCCTATTTGCTAACCAGGATCAGCGGACCCACAGCGCCCTTAACCGCCATCAGATAGTCCGGATACTTCCTACGGAGTACATTATCCCAAAGGTGTCCCCTCCACCGAGTCCTCATCCGCTCGACCACAGTCGCTCTCGTCCGCTGTCCTGCCTTCTTTTCTTGACTATCTTTTAAGTAGCAGCAACGTGGCTATCTGGGAACGGTGATTTTCTCTTCCGAATCGAGCTGTGCGCTAGCTGCCTGGCTGTCCCGCAATCACCATGGCCGAGCTCGACACTCTTGACATCGTGGTGCTCGGGGTGATTCTTTGCGGCACCCTCGCCTACTTAACCAAGGGCAAATTTTGGGGAGTCGTCAAAGACCCCTATGCTTCCAGCTTTCAAAATGGCACCGCAAATGCCAACAGGGCCGGCCGAACGCGAAACATTGTTGAGAAAATGGAAGAATCCGGCAAGAACTGTGTCATCTTTTACGGCTCCCAGACGGGTACCGCAGAGGATTATGCTTCTCGACTAGCAAAGGAAGGAAAGAGCCGATTCGGCCTGGAAACTATGGTCGCTGACCTGGAAGAGTACGACTTTGACAACCTTGACACTTTCCCGAGCGACAAGGTGGCCATGTTTGTTCTGGCAACATATGGCGAAGGCGAGCCTACCGATAATGCCGTCGAGTTCTACGAGTTCCTCACTGGCGAAGATGTTGCCTTCTCTGAGGGCAATGACCCCGCTTTGGAAAACCTCAACTATGTCGCATTTGGATTGGGCAACAATACCTACGAGCACTACAATTCCATGGTTCGAAACGTTGACAAAGCCCTGACCAAGCTTGGGGCTCATAGAATCGGCGACGCTGGCGAAGGAGACGACGGCGCGGGTACAATGGAAGAAGACTTCCTTGCCTGGAAAGATCCCATGTGGGCGGCCCTGGCCTCCAAGATGGGTCTCGAGGAACGTGAAAGCGTGTATGAGCCAATCTTTGGTATTGTGGATCGTGAGGGCCTGACACCCGAATCCGCAGAGGTCTATCTGGGTGAATTAAACAAGATGCAACTGGAGGGCACTAACAAGGGACCGTTTAATGCTCACAACCCGTACATTGCTCCCATCTCAGAGTCTCGCGAGTTATTTTCTGCCAAAGATAGAAACTGTTTGCATCTGGACGTTGATATCAGCGGTTCGAACCTGTCTTACCAGACTGGAGATCATATTGCTGTGTGGCCAACCAACCCCGGTGCTGAGGTCGACCGATTCCTTGACCTCCTCGAGCTTGCTGATAAGAGAAACAACGTTATCAGTGTCAAGGCCCTTGAGCCAACTGCGAAGGTGCCATTCCCGACCCCCACTACGTACGATGCGATTGTCCGATATCATCTGGAAATCTGCGCTCCGGTCTCCCGTCAATTCGTTTCAACCCTTGCTGCTTTCGCCCCTACCGAGGAGATCAAAGCAGAGATGACGAGGCTTGGCAACGATAAGGATTACTTCCATGAAAAGACTGGCCCTCACTTCTATAACATTGCCCGTTTCCTGTCTGCCGTTAGCAAGGGAGAGAAGTGGACCAAGATTCCATTTTCTGCGATCATTGAGGGTTTGACCAAGCTCCAGCCTCGCTACTACTCGATTTCATCCTCCTCCATTGTTCAGCCCAAGAAAATCTCTATTACTGCTGTCGTTGAGAGCCAAACGATCCCGGGACGTGGAGATCCCTTCCGAGGAGTTGCGACAAACTATTTGTTTGCTCTTAAGCAGAAGCAGAATGGAGACGAGAACCCCACACCCTTTGGCCAGACCTATGAGATTACCGGCCCTCGCAACAAGTACGATGGCATTCATGTTCCTGTTCATGTGCGACACTCGAACTTCAAGCTTCCTTCGGACCCAGCCAAACCCATCATCATGATTGGTCCCGGAACCGGAGTTGCGCCATTCCGCGGGTTTATCCAGGAGCGTGCCAAGCAGGCCAAGGACGGTGTCAACGTTGGTCGAACTCTTCTTTTCTTCGGATGCCGAAAATCGACCGAGGACTTCATGTACAAGTCCGAGTGGGAGGTATGTCTATGCCCTGTAATTATTTCCTTGTTCTCTAACCGTAAGTTAACATCATCTAGGAATATCAAGAGGCACTGGGCGACAAGTTTGAGATGGTTACCGCCTTTTCTCGGGAAGGACCCAAGAAGGTCTATGTGCAGCATCGCCTCAAGGAGCGTGCTCAGGAAGTTAACGAGCTGCTTCTTCAGAAGGCTAGCTTCTACGTCTGCGGTGATGCTGCCAACATGGCACGCGAGGTTAACGCAGTTTTGGTGCAACTCATCGCTGAGGGACGCGGGGTAACAGAACAGAAGGCAGAGGAGGTTGTCAAGATGATGAGATCAACAAACCAGTACCAGGTAAGATTCTTTCGAGTCACCCCTCACCTCCCCTCCCGGAAAGTTGTCTCCACTGATACTAACGCATTGGATTACAGGAGGACGTCTGGTCTTAGACAGTAGACAAAAGGATTGGCGCGTTCATTGAGGTAATTAGCGTGGCGGTACTACATATGTGCATATTTTGCTACTTACTGGGGTAAGGATCCCCGGGTTTTGGTGTGGGATAAAGGCTCAGGCCAATTGGATTTATTGGTACATAAACAAAGACAGCAAGAATACATTGGTAATTGACTATTGGTCGATCTCCTTCCCATCGCAACTGTGATAGGCCCTACATGGGTGATTTCATTGATGACTCTATCAGGTTTGGCGAGAGGCTTACGTAGGCTCCGGCTTCCAGAAACGACAATACGGGAGAACTTGTTGCGGCTGAGTCTTAAGGCAAGGAAAAAGAAATGAGGAAAAGAAAAGGAGTAGATGCGTGATGGAACCTAGCCGAAACCTCAAAAAGTGTTACCCACCCACATCTAGAACTTGTTTTTTCATTTGGTAGGCGAAATGGGCTGCAGCCTTTGGTATATCTCTTTATCCCTCCCTCCTTTTTTTTTTTTTTTTTTTTTTTGCTTTTGCCACACTGGCCAATGTGATGAGCGGTGGCAGGGATCAAGGAGATTTGTAGCTGGTTGGGCCACCTGGATTGCTGGAGTATGTGGCTTATTTGGTCCGTTTGAGGATGTAGCAGAACACGGATCTAGGCTTGCGGGCTGGTTAGTACCGCAACGCAGCGTGAATCTCGATAAGCCTTTCATCCATGTGGCCTTCCCCAGACACGAGAAGCTCCTCTTTGATCACGTCCCCGCTATCGCAACCTACGTGAAGCGGAGAGCCCACCGTCATATTCGTCTGAGGAAGCATCCCGGACAGGCTTCCAGTCGCCCTGGGCAAGACATACAGATGGGTTAGGCGTAAACAGAAATTTCGTGTCTGAGAACTAAGCCGGCCTGAGCGACGAGCGCAGCCTGTGTCGTCGCCCGCAGCATGTAATAGTGCGTCGGGAATAATATCTGCCAATAGAAAAGATTCGGGGACAGGCTCAGCACCACCATGGAGGAGCGGTGATAGATTTTGGCGAAAGAAGCAACGACAGATCGGCCCGGAACTCGATGAGCGCGCTGCCTGCAGTCAATCATTGTCGGGAAATGCCCCGACTCCATCCGCGCTCATGGATGAGAGATGATAGATCGATTTTCACTCACCGTCAATTGGACAAGGCCTGGAGTCTAGTGCAGTAGTGAGGAGCGTGGCGTCACGACCCCCAGAGCTGTGCTGGCCAAAGCCCGTAAGACCTTGCCTGAGCTGACTCGATGTCTCGAGGACGCACTTGGACGGGATTGTAAGACATTCTCTTGATTCATACTGGCCGTAGCTGATCAAGATAGAGAGCAATATTAGGAGGTAAGCCTTAAATTCGGCGGCTCCTTCAGCTATATATATATATATGTTTGGTGTTCTCCCCACCTCGTCGTGGTTGCTTTGTCAAGTACCGTACACCTTTTAGCAGAGTATTCATTATTATCCTTTGAGAATATCAATATTTCTAGTATTTCTTCATTTTGCTTTGCTCTATTGGATCTACTCTGTGTCGACTGTTTGCCAATATCCGCATCTGATACTCAGAGGAAGCTAACAGGTTGGTGCAACCAAACGAATCTTTGATTTCCATCGCCCAGTATTGGCCCATTTCCTTGGCTTTAGATCTTGACCAACTAGCAGGTCATTTCAAAAGCTTGGAGACCGCGAGTTGGTACCAACCTTGCCTGGCAAGACCACGGAGACGCTCGATAGTGTATATTTATGCATGCTGGACCGTGAGCACCTTCGAAAGATCTCAAGCGATTATTAGACTGGGACATCGTGGTGCGGGCTCTCTCTCTACCAATCTCCATCTGTAATTTTATTAAGACTGATTCCAGTGCTTCATTCTTTCGAAATCTCTACTGCTCTCTTCGATATCGGAGGCCTGCCTGACTCCTCTGGCTTCTGGAGATTTGGGCGGACACCACGCATATACACTTTCCTCCAAGCAAGCAGCCTACCTACCTACCTTACCTCCTACCGGTCTCAGATAAGCACGCCCGCCTGGCACGCCTGTTTGGGTCGGAAGTAACGAGACGTCCGGTGCCCTGCTGCTATTGACAGCTGAGAACAATAGAAAGTGCGGCGGTCGAGTCCAGACGAGGTGAGGACGGTACCTTCAGGCAAGAGCTTGCTGGGTCGAGGTACCTTGACTCGTTGAATAGCAGTAGATGCCCTGAGCCCCGAAGTTACAGGTACTTGAGGACTAACCGAAGGCGCATCAAGGGTCAAAGTGGTTCTCAGCCCGACCTCAGAGAAGCGAAATCTCACCTTCTTCTCACCTCGCAGGCAGGCACTTGCAGCAGCTGGCGACAGTTGCCCGCCCAACCTCGAGCTATAAAACGCCGCTCTTCTTCTTCTCTCACGATCCTTCTTTCCTCCCTTCTTCACCACAAATTTCTTTGGAATTCAGTTGGTGCCTCCAGCATCCTTTGGACTCCGCAGAGTTCTGTACAATATCGCTACAGTGCACACTTTACAGCCATACATTACAGAATACTTCTCCAAGCTTCTTCATATCCCATCATCTCATCAATCTGGTAGCTCCGGCTGCTTCAGAACCTCCTTCCCTTTCTTTTTGTTTCGTCATCGAGTCTTCAGAAGTCTTGACCGATACAGTGTCATTCTTCGCGACTTCCCCCGCCCGGAGCTCGCATAACATTTCGTTTTTGAGGTAAGCCTTCTGCTGCTTGGCACCTCACTCACTCCTTCTGTTCTTCAACTCCCGACAAGTGTCGAGGCCTACTTCTACCCCTTCCTCCTCTCATCCCATCTCTCTTTTTCTTCTTTCTTCTCTCTTCACAGATTCACCACAGTCATCTTCTTCTCTTTCATCCCCGATTCAATCTTTTTCCCAGTCACCCATCTTGCTTGGTAGATTGTTCTATTTTTCTTACTCTCGCTTCATCTTCCAGTCTTGGTAGCCGCATTTGGCCTTGAGCCCGCTTTCTTTCGCCAGGCCTTGGTGTCTGTTCCAGAGTAAGTTGGCCACCCATTCCTTGTGTCACCAAGTCAAAACTCCTTTCTTTCCCTCTCATCATCCTTGTTTTCTCCTCAATCATCTCTCTATGGCAAACCATATTTTCTACTGAAGTTGCCTCTCGCATTTGGCCATGTTATCCTCCTTGATTCCGTGGATCGCTTGGTCGACCTGCGTTACCTTAGACCTGGGTGAAGAAAGCTGGCTAACAACGCCTTAGTTTGCTACTCGATCATTTTCAAATTCCATAATTGCCCGAATCAATTTGTTGCTATTCAGGTATGTTTGCATCCACCTTCTCTCTGCTACACCACTTTCAGCCACCACTGTCTCCTATCCTCCCCTTGTCTTCACGGGTCAAAGGCTAACACATGGTACAGCTTCAGTCCTTATTATTCTCACGTAACATCCTGACTCGTCATGGATCCCAATACTTCAGCCTTCCACGCCCAGGCGAACGCCGCGGCCCGCCAAAACAACGCCGCTCATGCTGCCCCTGGGGGAGTTAATGGAGCAGATGCCAATTCTATGATGAGCCACTTTGCTGGCCTCTCTCTTCATGGCATGAACATGACCCAGCCAGGTCCTATTGCTGTCGGACCAACCCCTTGGATTGGGGCCCCCTCTGGGTTTGTTGGAATGCCTCAAACCATGTATGACCACTTTGCCATGGGCCATGCCCAGATGAGCGAAGTTCCCTATGCTGCTCAGATCCCAGCTCATGGTTCTGGTGGACCTCTCTATGGACTCCACGTCCCACTTAACACTTCCATGATGCCCTACACCCCAGGACGTCCTACTGGTCCTCACCCTCGCGCCGATCGTGGCCACTCTGATGTTCCAGGTCTTGAGAACCGTCGCGGTTCTTACTCAACCAATGAGTCTACTCCTACAACTCCATTCTGGGGTGGTGTCGCCAGTCGTGAAGGTGGCGGTCCCCGGGTCGCCAGCGGTGACCGATCTACTTACACAACTCCATCTCCTCAGCAGCTTGGAATGTCTGCTCTTCATGTTGAAACATCGAAGCCTGCTGTCGTCTCAGAGGCGATCTTGGAAGAGCTTTCGAACCGCAAGCCCGCCATCCCCAAGGCGGTGCCTGCCGTTTTCACCCCACCTGGTCAGATGAAGAGCCTCGAGCAGAGTCTTGAGAACCGTATTCCTGGCAACCGCAATGTTTACATTCGCGGTCTTCATCCTACCACAGATGACGAACTGCTCTTCCTTTTTGCCAACCGTTTCGGTGCAGTCGAGACTTCCAAGGCTATCATCGATACAGGAACTGGTGCTTGCAAGGGGTAAGAGAACATATTTCCTTGATTCTAGATTCATCCTTGACTTTGAACGCTTTGACTTACAATCTCTTTCTCCCCTTCCCCTCCATTTAGCTTCGGATTTGCCAAGTTTGTCGATGCCCAGAGCTCCGAAATGTGCATCCGAGGATTTCATCGCCTTGGCTATGAAGTCGGCTTTGCTCGTGTGAGCCATAAACACCCCATCCTCACTACCCGATTTGACCTGTCTGACCCCCGTTAGGAATCCTTCAACTCCCGGCTCAAGGCCCAGGGAGACGATGGTTCCACCAACTTGTACATTTCCAATCTGCCCAAGACCCTGAACGAAGTGGTGTGTAAAAGAACAGTTTCCACACCCCATCTGGGATCTCATTGCTAACTATGGTGAAGGAGCTTGGAACTATCTTCCTTGGCTACAACATTCTCTCTAGCAAGATTCTTCGTGACAGCATGGGCAACAGTCGCGGCGTCGGGTTTGCTCGGTATGTATACTTTTTAGGTGCCCGTGTTACTGATTGTCTATTAACATCTTCAAGATTTGAGGGCCGTACTGTTTGCGATGAAATCATCCGCAAGTTCAATGGCGTTAGCATCGGACACGAGGGCATGTTGATGAACATTCGTTACGCCGATACTCCTGCTCAGAAAGAGCTCAAGCGTGTGACTGCCGAGCGCCGCCAGTTCCGCACCAACGAGTACAACATTGGCGCCTATGGTACTCCCCTTGTTGGTCTGAGCCCAAACATGTACACCCAGACCCAGTGGCGACGCAACGGTGCTCCTCCCTCTGGAAGGTAATTTTCCTCTTTTCAAACCCTGATGATGGGATTCCTAATGTATCTAACCACATTGTAGTGAGGGATCATCTAGCGCTCGAGCTGGTGGCCAGAGTGCCGTTGGACATAAGGGATCTCAGCGTGATGACTCCCAGTACGCGCTGCGACCTCGATCTGTCTGGCTTCGTTGATTTCTAATCGCTCATATGTAGGGCGGCCACAAGCGATACAACGGATTCCGCAGTCTCTTCTCCGAATTCTTCCGAGTGTGACGAGGGCGTGACTATTCATGCGGATCCAGCTGTCGAGGCCGTTGACACTTTGAGCGGTGTTTCTTCTCCATCTGCATACCAGGAGGTGAAGAAGAAGGAAATTGTTAACAAGGAGGTCATCAAGAATGAAGTCTGAGAAAAGATGTTGGTGAGCCCTCTGGTCTCCTAGAGGCGTAATTTCTGTCTTTTCTACATCAATGTCTTGATAGACTGTCCCCCTTGCCTATGTTTTTTGGAGTTGATTTCATCAAGTTTTGATAGTATTATGCGATCGAAGAACATCTTATGATCTCTGAGATAGCTGATACACTTTGGTGGAATCGCAAATCGCGTCCAACATCTCTCTTTTTTGTACCTTAGTTTCGAGACAATTGCACTATAGCACGTAAACAAAAAAACATGTGGCGGCAAGGTAATATACACAGATGTTGCGCAAAACTCGAACCTGGATTCACCTCACTGCTTTGTGTTGTGTTTGGTGTTTACGCAGATGTAGATTTGAGCTGGTGGTTCGGGTATCATGTTTCATTTAATCGACTCAACTACCACTAAATTGTCATTTTCGAAATGCCCACTTCTGCGGATTGCTGCCCTTGTTGCTCGGGTTGAACTTCATCTTCGGTTGACTTGGAAGCCACCTCGGCGTCCAAGTCATCAACCTCATTTGCCACTCCAATGATTATTTCGCCGCCATTGTCTGAGGGGTCTTCATCATCAGCATCATCATCATCATCCTCTTCACTCTCCTCTTCTTCCTCATCAGAGTTGTTACCATCTGCCTTCATCGCCTCTTTTTCTCTGATGGCAGCCTCTAGATCTTTAACCATTTTCTTGGTGAACCCAGATGCCTCCACTGTTGCATCTAATCTTGTCAGGCCAGCCTTCTTCATGGCCCTCTTTGCATCTTTGAAGAAGGGCCCAGGTTCAGTGCTGGTGAAGTGGAATCTTCTGGAGAAGAAGCGCTTGATGCATTCGACATCTCTGTCAAAATACATTTCTGCGTTTTGGTGCTCCATTGATACCATCTGAGGGAAATCAATGATAACTGGCTCGAGGGTTAATGCTTCCTCACCACTTTCAGTGGTCACCTTGATCTCCTTGATGAGAATGTTGAATTCGTTGAAATCGCCATGAATCAGGCCATGTTTGGCGAGACGGAGAATTAAAGATATCAACTCGCCGTAAAGTTTTGCTGGGTCCGGGACAGCGGATATTTGTCGTAGAGGAAATGCATCAATGAGAGCCATAAGAATGGTATGTCTGGACTGCGCGATGGGTTCGGGCACTGGGAAACCTTCTGCTAAAAGAGCCTTCATGAAGGCAAACTCCTTCATGGCGGCGAGTCGGGACAAGTACATCCACGAACCGGAGGCTCTATTTTTGAGGTAATCTCGATTCGACTTGACTGTGCGGAAGGATATTCTCCCGAGGCGATGGATTTTGAGAACTTTCTGGGTGCCTTGGTTATCAGCGACGATCATGATGTCGCTTTCTTTTCCAACGCCGATCCTGGTACCAACGCTGTAGATATCTTTTCGAGCAGAGTGGGTGTGCAACGCCAGGTAATCAAGCCCACCGTACGTCAGTCTGTAGCCATCGTACTTGGCCTCCTTGACTCTGGCTATCAACCCGACCTTTGCCAGAGCGGATATGCTTTTATGCACACCGCTAGCACCGCCCTTTAGGCGGGCAATCTTCTCGATTAATGGCGTGGGAACAAGTTCATGATTTTTGCTTCCCATTTCCACCTATACATGACATTAGTTGGGGCTTTACACTTGGGCTTCACTTGAGCAGGGAATCAAACGCACAGCTGTGAGTACGCGCCAGTCTTCAGACGCCAGATAGCGCATGGCCCGCGTGTCCAACTTCATGATGAAATTGTAGGGTAATTTCCCTGGCTTTTTCTTTCTAAATTGAAGATGATATCTTGAGAATCGTGCAGAGAGGACCCTTGTTCCTTGGCTGGAAAAATGTTGGAGGGGTTGTGTATGTCCCTTGATGATAACTTTCTTATCGGCTTATCGATAAGTCATTATGATGTGCATGAGGTCTTGTGAAGGAGGGATGTAAATGCACGTGACCACGAAGGCTAGCTGACCCAGTTTAACAGGCGCCAGTGCCTCACGTAACCCAAGCTGTAGCAGCTTGGGTCGGCAGGCTCTATCAGCTTCCATCATCAACAACACCGGCACTCCCTTCTGACATATTCTACACCCACATCTTAGCAATAATCCGAACAGAGATCAACCCCCACCCCCTGGAGGTCTCTGATTTATTCATATCGTGGAAGATTGGAGGTAGCGAAGCTCGTTACGACTTCGACGACAACATGGCTCAGGACAGCGACGTTCCCACGTCCGCGGCCAAGGGAAAGGGCAAGGCTGAGGAGACGCCCAAAGATGAGAAGCCGGTTCTCAATGGAAAGAAAGACGAAGGCGAGAAGAAGGACTGTGGGTGATATCGACACTCCTCATGTCTTGCTCGGTAGCTAACATATTTATAGCCACTGAGGAGGAGCTCTCCGAGGAGGACCAACAACTCAAGAATGACCTGGACATGCTGGTGGAACGCTTGACCGTGAGAAGCTTCGATCGTCTCATTCAAAGAAGTCTCTTGTGCTAATGGACCTTAGGAATCAAATTCGTCGCTTTATAAGCCGTCTTTAGAAGCTATGAAGACCTCAATCAAGACTTCTACGTCATCGATGACCGCCGTCCCCAAGCCCCTCAAGTTCCTGCGGCCACACTACGAGACCCTGACGAAGTTATACGACACATGGCCTGAGGGCCAGGACAAGACCTCACTCGCAGATGTGCTCTCCGTGATCGGTATGACGTTTTCGGACGAGGATAGACAAGACACCTTGAAGTACAGACTTCTTGCTCCATCATCTGATATCAGTTCTTGGGGTCACGAATATGTCAGGCACCTGGCTCTTGAGATCGGGGAGGTGTATGGCAAGAGAATCGTTGCAGATCAGCCAACGAAAGACCTTGTCGAACTTGCACAAATCCTGGTACCGCTTTTCATCAAGACCAACGCCGAGGCAGACGCTGTGGACCTCATGAGTGAGTTGGAGATCATCGAGGAGATCCCTAAGTTGGTGGATGAGAATACATATGCGCGTGTATGTCTCTACATGGTCAGCATGGTCAATCTCCTCACCTATCCAGATAACGAAACATTCCTTCGCACCGCCCACACCATCTACCTAGAGCATAAGCAGTACACTCAAGCTATGGTTCTGGCAATTCGACTGCACGATACAGATTTGATCCAGGCTGACTATGCTTTGGTGGAGGATCCTGCCCTGAAGAAACAGCTGGGATTTCTAATCGGCCGCCAAAAGATCGCTATCATTGAGATCGAGGCCAATTCGGAGGATGAGCAAGAGGAAGTCGAATGCCTGTCGAATATGCGCCTGTCAGAGCACTTCAAGTCTCTTGGAAAGGAGCTGAACATCCTGGATCCTAAATCTACCGAAGATATCTACAAGAGCCATTTGGAGAGCAGCCGCGTCTCTGGCATGACAAATCTAGACTCAGCCCGCCACAATCTCGCTGCTGCGTTTGTCAACGCATTTGTCAACGCAGGCTACGGCAATGACAAGATGATGTTAGTTGACGGTGACAAGGAAACCTGGGTTTGGAAGACGAAAGCGGATGGCATGATGTCAACAGTTGCGTCAATGGGCACGCTGCTGTTATGGGACATTGAAAACGGGCTTGACAAGATCGACAAGTACACTTATGCGACTGAACCTGAGATTGCAGCAGGCGCCATGTTGGCCATCGGTATAATGAACTCGGGTGTGAGGATAGATTCTGAGCCCGCTCTTGCATTATTGGGCGATGTGAACAAGCTTCACCACGCAAACCCACTCATGCGCACTGCTTCTATTCTGGGTCTCGGTCTTTCATACGCCGGTTCGGACAAGGAAGATCTGCTTGAACTGCTGGTTCCCATAATTTCGGACTCCAGTGAGTCCATGCAAATCTCGGCTATGGCTGCTCTAGCCTGCGGTCTGATCTTTGTTGGTTCTTCAAATGCTGAAGTCAGCGAGGCCATTGTGACCACGCTTATGGATGACGAGCGCAAGAGCCAGCTCACAGACAAGTGGACAAGGTTCCTTGCTTTGGGTCTGGGCCTTCTCTTCTTCGGGCGCCAGGAAGAGGTTGATGTTATTCTGGAGACACTGAAAGCCATCGACCACCCCATGTCACAATCAACAGCCGTACTGGCTGAGATTTGTGCGTGGGCTGGCACTGGGGCAGTTCTCAAGATTCAAGAACTTCTTCACATCTGTAACGAACACAAGGAGGAGTCGGATGATAAGAAAGGCGACGAACTGCTCCAGGCGTACGCGGTCCTCGGTATTGCAGTTGTCGCCATGGGCGAAGACGTTGGGCAAGAGATGGTCTTGCGCCATTTCGGCCACCTGATGCACTACGGTGAACCCAACATCAGAAAAGCAGTCCCTCTAGCAATGGGTCTCATCAGCCCTAGCAACCCCCAGATGAAGGTTTACGACACGCTTTCGAGGTACAGTCACGACAACGACCCGGAAGTCGCTATCAATGCTATCTTCGCCATGGGCATTCTTGGTGCCGGTACCAACAATGCTCGTCTTGCCCAGCTGCTTCGACAACTGGCGAGTTACTACCACCGTGACCAGGACGCTCTCTTCATGGTCCGAATCGCACAGGGTCTGTTACACATGGGCAAGGGCACACTATCGCTCAACCCCTTCCACACTGATCGCCAAGTTTTGTCCCAAGTGGCAGCTAGTGGTCTTCTAGCAACAATGGTCGCCATGATCGAGCCCAAGGAATTTGTGACATCCAACTCGCACTACCTCCTCTACCTCCTCGTCACCGCCATGCACCCCAGGTTCTTAGTCACTCTTAATGAGAAGCTTGAACCTCTTAAGGTAAATGTCCGGGTTGGTCAAGCCGTAGATGTTGTTGGTCAAGCTGGCCGGCCGAAGACCATCACCGGATGGCAGACACAAAGCACACCTGTTCTCTTGGGACACGGTGAGAGGGCTGAGCTAGAAGATGAGGAGTACATTAGCCTCAACAGCACGCTTGAGGGTCTTGTGATCTTGCGAAAGGTAAGCTACTAGTTCTCCAATACCCGGCTCTCGTACATCTTATCCCTTTACATTACTAACCAATATTTCTTTCTAGAACCCCGACTGGGAAGAGAACAAATAAACGGTCATGATTGGATGAAATTCGGACGGAGTTGATGATGCTCGGCCATGGGCAAGGCACGGGGCTAGGCATCCTCGGAACTGTATTGTAATACACGCGTCGGAAAATTGGGGATGGAACCAAAATCCAGACGGAAGATACATGCATTGATAGACATTTGATCTAGAAAATCAATCGCAATCCTAAATGAAGAAACCAAGCAATCAATCAACCGATGTCAAGATACCTAATTAAATAGTATTGAAATGTCATTGTCTATATCATAAACTCATTACTGGTATATGCCCAAATCTATGCCAAAATACAAGGGGGGAAATGATTGAAACTAAAGCAAGTGAGAACTGGCAAAATAACCCAAACCCCGTGTCAAATAATATTCATTCCCATCACCAGGCGTCTGGCCCGAACCGTTCCCCTTCAGGCAAAGTCTTCCAGGGGCACGCCTGCCAGTCACAACCTTGTTTATAGACCTCGGTCCCCCACCAGTGAAAGTTCTGCATCAGGCCGGGGTAGATGAAGCCGAAGAAGACGACGACGATGCCAAAGGCCAGGCCCGAGTCGAGCGCGGCGCTGAGGGTCATGGTGTACTTTGCCCACCAGGCACCGGCGCGCCTCTTGATGTGGTAGTTGAAGATGTAGCAGACGAGGGCCCAGACGGAGAAGTTGAGACCCGTGGCCGGGGGGATCCAGGACATGGCGCCGAATATCACGGGCAGGTTTACCTTCCGGATGATGCTGCTCTTCTTGTGGCGGCTGTAGAGCCAGAGCGGGATGGGGAGGAAGGCGCCGAGGGGGAAGCACCACACGAGGGCGCGGTACATGGCGCCCGGGCCGAAGAACTCGTTGACGCCGACGACGCCCCAGAGGATGGAGCCGTTGAAGTGGACGCGGGCGATGGGGCAGGTGAAGCCGTTGAGAGCGTCGGGGGTGCAGAGTCCCCTGATGTTGACGAACATCCAGTTGAGGACGCCGATCTGAGTAATGGAGGAGACCAGTGTCGCGACGACCTGGACGGTGAACATGATCCGGGGAGGGATCTTCATGTAGTGGCCGAGCTTGAGGTCGGAGGCAAACTTGATCCCCTGGGCGGAGGAGATGTATCCGTACGTGACGAATACCATGTTGGCTATTGGGCGGCCTGGGAACACTGCGCCGCAAATAAGCTGGCAGATGAGGTAAATGCTGCTATGTTGGTTCGTAACAGCCATTATAATGCCATTTGGTATAAAGAAGATTGCGCCTATTCCAAGAGATAGTAGGAGGCCGTACCAGGGCAGGTGGATAGGGTAGCTGTAGAGACGGGTCAGCTTCTGAGAATCGATGGGAGTAGCTAGAGGTTCGCAAACGTACTATTCTACAACGAAGATGCCAATGGCCGTCATAGACAAAAATGTAATCAAGTACCACGACATGGGAACATCTTTGTATCGCTTCATCAAGCGACTGTGAACATCCTCGTGGCTTATTAGACCATCCACGTTGGATGTCGATCTGGATAGGCGAGCATAGTCTTCATTTGCGAACAGGCCGTTATCCTGAGGGGTGTTGGGCACTCGCTGGTAAACCGGCCTGCCGTCCTCGCGAGCTTCCTCCAATGCCTTTTTCCAAGTCGTCCAAATATCATGGCCATGCCAGCACGCCGTATGTGTCAGCAGAGCAGCTAAACCGGCAAATTGAACACCGTAGCTGAGCATGTAGGTAACTGGAAGGAACACACGGCTGTATTGCTTGTACGCTTCTTTATCAAAGACGAAATCCGAGGTGAGAATGTGGGTGACATCGTAGACCTTGCCAGTATTGTCGAAGACTGCTGTAGACAGGATAGGCATGTATGATGTGTATAGGACGTTGGCGTAATACATGATGGGGGCAATCATCCACATCACGATGACCATGCCCCCAATGACGTTTACTGCTGCCCAGAACGGCACGAGCAGGGGAGACCCAATATACGTGATCTGTGCCCAGTCAAAGGTTAAAGGCAACATTCCGAGGCCGGAGGTGACACCAAACAAATTGGCAGCAACCACACTTTTCGGAGCAAACCAAGTAAATACGTTGAAGTAACTCAATGCAGGCATTAGAAGGCCTGGCAGAAAGTAGAAGATAAACGAGCCGAAAAACACGACGTAAAAGAAGTTCCAACGACTGATCTTCCAACCATTTGCAGGCTTGTTGTCTTGCTTGTGTAATGTACCAAACATTGCTGCGGACATAAGAGTGCCTGGCCAAATCATACCGCTGGGGCGCACCAGAAAACGACGGGTAAGACCAGCAAACCCATAGCCCAAGATCTGAGTCGAGATTGTCAGAAGCAATTGGTAGAGTATGGGAGCTTCTTGGTGGTAGAATCGAGTTTGTTCAATGATGACATCGGTAGCAAAAGCAAACCCAAAGGCAACATTGCTGCTGACGTAGACGCAGGTATGTTCCTTTTCGTTCCACCTACCTTGAGCCAACCATTGGCGCCAGGATCGTGTCGCCTTGCCTCGGCCATTCGGTGGCTCTTCGTCTACCGCTGAAGAGACTTGGCTCCCATCGACAAACTCTTCAGCGGGGTCATGGGAGCGTTTGAGGAGAAAATCCCAAGTGTGGCCAAGGGGATGCACGAGAAGCAAAGCAATAACAGGCGTGATAGCCACGCTAGGGTATCTCAAGGAAAAGAAAAGATTTGTGGAGGATCCAAGAATGGAAAACAGCACTGAAAGGCACCACATTCGAGGGGTATTGATTGACAAGGTAGTGTCGTCTGTGGGAGGAACCGAGGCTCGGACAGCATCGTGGGGCGAGTTGTCTACACCATCGTCATCGTCGTCGAGGGACGCCGTTCCCTCATGATCTTCATCGCCACTTAAAAGAGGAACGCCATCCTCTGAGGCATCTTTCCTTTTGCCGTCGCCCACCATGCCGCCAGTGAGCGGGGCCTCTGCCATACTGAACCGACCTTCCAGGCCCGAGACCAGCATTGAACCTTCCAGGTCCTCTGACATGTGCGAGGAGGATTTTGTGGATAGACCCGAACGTTTGGATGCAAGGGTCCTCGTGGTGCCAGAGACTCTGCGCCGAGGAACAGGTTTCGAGGCCTGCTCAGCACCACTGGGGTGAGGAGTATGGCTTGGTGATGACGATACTGATCCATACGGGCCATCTTGACGGAAGGCAGGCGACGAATTAAGGGACCGTCCGGGTTGAGAGGACGAGGCCATGGTGCCGGGATCGGGGGTCCTAGGCCGGGAGTTGTTGTCGGCTTCTTCTATCGCCTTGTTGGATTCGGCCGACGGCTGGACATGGTGGAGAGACGAAACAGAGCGCTGTTCTTGGACAGTCGGCGGGGAGGCGGATGAGGTGCTTGGAGGGGTAGCGACGAGAGGCGAGGCGGTGGTATTTGTAGAATCAATCGAGCGCGGCGCTAGGTCTTGGAGGGGCACGGCATGCTGGTCCTGATGCTGATCCTGGTCATGCAGTTGTCGATGCACAGGGGAGGAGTCACGGCCGTGTGCGTGGGCCCCGGTCGCCTTATTGGGCTGACGATGGGACTGGGAATGGGCAACGGCGGCAGCAGGATGGAAGATGTCGGTGTGTCTGGAGGAGGAGGAGGAGGGCTCCGGCGGCTGCTGACGATGGCGGCCCATTGCGGGGCGTCTGGCGATGCTACTGCTTCATGTGGGGAGGGTGTGAGGTCACGGTGGGCAAAGAGGGAAGAAAAAGGCAGCGGCTTGGACATACAAGTGACCTAGTTAGTGTACGTACGGTATGGGAGGTTGAGGGTGGAATCGTGAGCGTCCCAGTGGAGGGAGGATCGGGAATTACGTCTGGCTGGGCCGCTGCAGCTGCAGATGATGGCGATCGAACAGGGGTGATGCATGTGCCATCCAACACTGTGGCTGGTCCAGATCGGACGTTGGACTTTTGGGCTGCAGGTCAACCACCGGCTGGTGCCCACTTGCATGCATCAACAGCCAGTCGCTGCGAGGGAGAAAACAACTGAGTGCCTGGGATTGGATAGTGAATGAAGCGAATCCCAAAAACGAGCATCACGATCTGACATGCCTCCCTCTGAGGGCTTTTGTCTCTCTCCCTGCAAACCACCGAGTTGTTAGTTGACTGCATGCGTTGTTGTACGACGGACCTAGTCCCCAAGGAGAGTACCTAGGCTCCACGGAGGGCAGGCATCTACCGGACCAGCACAGTCTTCTAAATCTACAATTCTCTAACTTTTCATGCTGCTATTTGTTGCCGACTATAGTTCGCTCTGTGGCCGAATAACAGCTACTTACCTACGGCATTGGGCATATGCGCCCTGCCGGCCGTGAACCTCATCAAGTCGTCGTTGTAGCAGTGCCCGAGCTAGAAATTGAGTTAGTGGTGCAGAGCATCAAAAACGACCAACGGGCGCGATAGGTCAGGAGTTTATGTCGGGCGCCGGGAAAAGGTAGCCTAATAGAGATGTCGCAACATTACACCTCCATGAATCCTGCTCTGCTTCCTTGTCGTATCGGCGAAGAGTCATTCATTCGTGGGATGCTGGGCAAGTTCTGTTGTAGTGACTCACAGCGATTTGGGGGTTTTACTACTTACTATCGTGTCGCAGAAGTCACAGGCCAAGTATGCTTTGATTGACAACATAAACCCCATTATTAAGTAGATGATGATGTGCCATCCGATCATAACTTTCTAATATTCGTCGATTATTACGTCAATTGTTGTTGAAATGGCCTTCAGCCAGTTGCTGCCGTTGGAACGCCATGAGAGATCTCCGCACTCTAATTTGTCGGCGCAGGTGATAAGGTGGGGTTGAGTTACTTCTCACTCGGCAGTTGTACTTCTCAGGATGATTCATTCATGCACCCTGGCTATCCCCAGACGTGAAGTCCTGCTTATATCTTCTAAGTGGCGTGAATTATCGTAGCTAGCAACCATTGCCAAAATGAGTTCTTCAGCTACCAAAGCTGCCAAGCAGCAACTTCGGAAGCTCATGAAGGAGAAGCTGTCCACCGTCTCGCAGGAGTCGGTACGTCTTCAGAGTATGCGGAATCCCAGCTTTCACGTAACGCAGCTTATGCGCAATCCAGGTGCTAACCAACACAAGGCCGGCAGATATTCGAGTCCCTGCAGGACTTCCAGCCCTACAAGGACGCACGCCGCGTGAGCATCTATCTCTCAATGCCTGCCGCCGAGATTCAGACAGATGCCATTGTGCGCCATGCCTTGCGGGAGGGTAAGCAGGTGTTTGTCCCATATCTTCATAAGTCACCCTTGGAAACACCAGATACCCCTGCCCGAGTCATGGATATGGTCCATCTCAAAAATCTACAGGACTATGACAGTCTCAAGAGAGACAGCTGGGGCATTCCCAGCATTGACCCGGCCACAGTCCATGAACGCCAGCGCATACTCGGAGGCCCTGACGTACACCACTCAGACAAATCTACACTCGACCTGATCTTGGTCCCTGGTGTCGCATTTGATACAGACGAGGCTGGTGCTATCCGAAGGCTTGGGCACGGGAAAGGCTTCTACGACTTCTTCTTAAATAGATATATGGAAAAGGCCGGCGAAAACACGCTGCGGCTTTACGGGCTTGCTCTCACTGAGCAGTTCATTCCCGACTCGTCGGAGCTGAGTGTTCCGATAGGGCAGTATGATAGAAAACTCCATGGGCTGGTACTAGGAAATGGCGAGATTAAAGGAGGGGATAAGAAGAGCACGCAATAGTACAGAGATGGAATCATTGAGGACTGTAGATCACCCCTCCAGAGAGAGGACAAGAAAAAGGCCTACAATGCCGTCAAGTATAGCTCTCTGACCGCGCGATCCATTCTCATCAGGGCGACTGTGACCTGCTTATGTCCAAGGCGAGCTATAATGCGAGCTATACTGGGCGGGCCGTGGACGGGAGCCCTCCGGAAATCGGAAAAAGCGCGCCTCCGGTTGCCTGATTGCGCCTGCTGTGCCCGCTGAGCCTGCTGATGCGTTCTCCGTGCCGCTTCCAAAAGCTGCGGTGCCGCCCCACCAAATGATGCGGGCTCCACCTTGCCATCACAAGCGTCGAGCAAGGTTGGTTGCTCTTCACCAAGCAGGTGGGTTCAACGTGGATGTGTATGTTTTTTGAAGTATCCCACCTCCCCGCCTCATCCCCCGCGACATCCTCGACCTTTGTTGCGCTCCCGCCTGAGAATAGAACTCGCCGCGAACTCTACCTCCCTTTTCTTTTCTTTGTACTCTATTTCCCAAGTCTTTTCCCCTGCATTTTGCCTTGTCCCGCCCAAGTTCAGCCGTCACGGAGTCCGCCCACGACCATAAGACGACCTTTCCCCTGGATCCTCTCGCCGCCCTCTCAGTTTGCGCTGAGGCTCCCTGGGAAACGCAACGTGCTCGAGACCTACTTTTACGCCGAAGGGTAGTTGGCTGAGAGGAAAGAAACCAACCCGACATGGCTACAAATGGCGACCAGCAGGCATTTGCGCCAGCAGATGTCCTGGCTGCTGTCCTGACTTTGAGGGGCGGGGAGCAACAAGCGAAAGAGAAGGCTCACGAGTACCTTCAAAGCTTCCAGAAGTCGGTGCGTGTGGGATTGGAACAGATTTCTCTGGGATTCCCCTTCCCCCTTTTTCATTTGGTGATTGGAGTTGACCCATATATGTGTTTAGAAAGAGTCTTGGGGCACCGTCGTTGGCATCTTGCAGTCAGACGCAGAGCCCGAGGCGACTTTGTTTGCTGCAATCACACTCCGCGGAAAGGTTTTTATCCAGGCGACTCCCCAGCGAACGTGCCCCGTAACTAACGTATCTAGATAACTTACGATCTTGCTACCCAGATCCCGCCAAGCCAGCATGAATCCCTCCGGGACCAGATCCTCCTTCTCTTACAGCGGTACGCCGCCGGACCAAAGCCGATTCGAGTGCAGCTTTGCGTATGTCTCGCGATTTTGGCTATTCAGATGAAGGACTGGAACGACGTGCTTTCCTTGGTGGTAGGGTCACTGAACAACAACCCAGAGAGCCATGCCGCCATTCTGGACTTTCTGCGGGTTCTTCCAGAAGAGGTCACCGAAGGTCGCAAAATTACCTTGTCTGTACGTGGATCGCGAAATTACCGGCCAAGCAACCACCCTCATCGTTTTCGTCACGACCGGTCGATCGTAGCAGGGGCATTGATTAGTCTAATTGTTGGATAGGAAGAAGATCTCGCAGCACGGACACAGGTCTTGTTGGCTGATAATGCCGACAGAGTTGTACAGCTCTTGATCAACTACGCGCAGTCATCTCGTACGTGACCCTGGTTTTCTTACATCTTCTACTGGAACTGACTCCTTGTTAACCTCGATCATAGCTACGGCTGCACGAAACCCTCAATTGATGGAATGCTTGACATCCTGGCTCAGGGAAGTGCCTGTTAGGACAGTTGCTAATTCACCACTCTTGGACATCGTATTTAACGGCGTATCAAGCGAAGACTGTACCCAAGAAGCTGGCGAGGCTCTCTGCACCATGCTCAGAGAGACTTCCGACGTTGAGGAGAGCCAAGACGTGATCGAAATCCTCTTCCCTCGCGTTCTCACCCTTCGATCTCAGATTGACAAGATAGTCGAGGAAGAGGATACGGAGCGATTCAAGTCACTAACAAAGATTTTTGCTACGGCTGCGGAAAGCTGGGTTGTCGCCACTGCGCGCCAGCCTGCGCACTTCAGGCCATTGGTGGATATCGTTCTCGAATGCGCATCCAAGGACAAGGACAAGGACGTTATCGAGCACACATTCAACTTTTGGTACGATCTCAAACAGTACATCGTGCTGGACAGATATGTTGAGAGTAGGGCGAGTTTTGCTGAGGTATATTCCAAGTTGGTGGATATACTTTTGAGTCATCTTCAATATCCACAGCCTGAAGGCGGCAATGAGGCGGATCTATTCGAAGGGGACAGGGAGCAAGAAGAGAAATTCCGCGAGTTCCGCCATATGATGGGTGACACACTCAAGGATGCGTGTGAAGTTCTCGGGGTCACCGAATGCTTGACCAAGGTCCTCCATTCCATCCAGCTCTGGATGCAGAAGTACGCCAGCCAAGTTGCCGATACCGTTGTACCGCACTGGCAGGAATTGGAGGCACCACTGTTCGCTGTACGGGCTCTTGGTAAGATGGTCGATAGCAACGAGGATGTTGTGCTACCCCAGCTCATGCCACTCCTCGTTCAGATCCCCAGCCACGAGAAACTGCGATTTGCAACGATCATGGTCCTTGGCCGGTATACTGAATGGACCGCGGCGCACCCAGAGTATCTTGAGTCTCAGTTCTCCTACATTGTTTCCTCCTTCAATACCGACTCGAAAGAAATTGTTCGGGCCGCTGCTCTTTCGATTAAATTCTTCTGTACCGACTGCAAGTATTTACTCAGCAACCAAGTCTTGCAACTCCAGACCTTTTACGACTCTGTCCTAGACAAGCTGCCAGATTTTAGTAAGGAGGAAATTACTGAGGGGGTGGCAAATGTGGTTGCTGTTCAGCCAGTCGAAGAAGTCTACCGCCTACTCAAGCTATACTGCGACCCTCTCGTCCATCGACTGATGGAGAAGGCCAACCACATCACAGATGATGATAGCAAGTTGGCTCTCGCAGGTAAGATAACAAGCACCAACCGCCAATAGAGTATGCCGCAAATATATGATACTAACAACGTTCACAGATCACCTTCAACTCATCACCATATTTGTTCAGAACGTGATTCCATCAGTGAACCCCGGCCAAGAAAACCCAGCCGTCAAATATTGGCAGGAGGTCTTCCCCATTCTGGCAACTGTATTGGACAACTTTTTAAGTTTCACCCCAATTTGCGAACGAGTTTGCAGATGCTGGCGAAGCATGATCATCTCGTACCGCACAGCCATGTCGCCCTTACTCCCCGAAATGGCCAACAAGCTCGCACACGGATTCACAACTTCCCGGGAGGGATGCTTCCTTTGGGTAACATCTGCGATACTGAGAGAGTTTTCAGAGGACCGGGAGCATGTCGACCAAAATACAACGAACAGCATTTACTCCTTTTTCGAAGCTCAGGCAACGACGTTCTTGCGGGTTATGACTCAGCTGCAGCCTAAGGAACTCCCTGATGTCATCGATGACTTCTTCCGGCTCCTAATTGACGCACTGCTCTACTACTCACAACGACTCATCCCATCCCAGCTTATGGGCCCAATCTTCGAGGCTGCTGTATATGCTCTGACACTAGAGCAACGCGATCCGCTCACATCTACTCTTCACTTCTTACGAGATTTCTTATCCTATGGTGGTGACAATCCCGCCACTAGCGACAGAATTCCAGAACCTGCTGCAACGCAAATCCGGGAGTTCGTCAAGACCATTTTGCTTCAGCAGGGGCCTAATCTTGTAAAGCAAGTGATGGCTGGGATGATGATTACCTTCCCACGAGATTGCTTTGCTGATGGGAGCGGAGTTCTCCTTGCTCTGTTTGAGCTCCTCCCTTCCCAAACGACTGAGTGGGTGTCGCACACGATCCAATTACTGCCAGAAGGTACTGTGTCCCCTGTGGAGGCCGACCGTTTGATGAGCAAAATCAGGGAGAAGCTTCAGAGCTCCGATGCCGGTGGGGTGCGGGCTGTTCGCGTTCTGCTTCAGGATTTCACCAATACATATCGACGCAGGAATGTAGCACCTCGCGATGGACTTGGTCAACTCGAAGCTACGCGATTCCAATTTTCAGGCTGAATCCACACCCGAGGTTGGCCTCATGAAGCCAGCAAATGAATATACGAGACATAGCCTGTTTGATAGACAGGTCAACTCGAAGGCCCAGCATTGCTTCAAGCGATAGGATCATATACGAGGCGATTTTAAGAGGTAGATTAGATAGCAGTTGCCACCGTGGTGGAGTCATGGGATAGGCGATGTATTGGGGAGCCATATGGGACTTGCAATAGTGGAAAAATAATAGGAATTAGGCATCTCGGGGCTGAAAGGTACGACACGGGATGGCATAGGATGGATGGAGCTGGGGTGGCATGGGACACCCGACCAATTGTAGATGAATTCAACTAGCGCGAGGACTTCCTTGGCGCTCATATAACTATATGCTGGCTATAGAGCAATAATCAAGGACAGAGGCTTGTGAGAGGTGCGCCACGACTGGCCTGGAAGGGGATGGGCGAAGGGAATATCGACTGAGAGTCCTGTAAACTAGATGCGAATAGATTGACGAGCCTCTTCATCCACGTCTACACTCCGTACAACTGAAAATGACACGCATTCTCCGCACTTGTCATCAGCGCCTTATAGGGTGCAGGTCGAACAGGCTGTCGTCCGATTACTATGACTCACTCCAGATATGCTGGAATCTTTTACCTCCGATTCAGAAATATCGGTCTAAACTAAAGATGTAACGAGACGAAGCCGAAAGGTGAGTGAATAGCCGCAGCTGGGGGGGAGGGGAAAGGGGGTGGCCATTTATACTTTCTGCAAACTGCGAGAGAAAACCCAAAGAGAGGACACAAAGCAGGATTCTGAAGATGGCGAGTCAGCGAGCAAGCGAGAAGGTCGACCTGATCCCCTGGGATCCACTCGACGATGACCATTACCGGAGGATGTACTCCCAGAGGATCGCCTGTGGCTGGAGGGAGGACGAGGTTGCTCTCTGGAAGGAAGAAGTCCTGGCCGGGCATGTCTTCTTCTACTGGATTGTACGTTGTTTTCGAAGCTCTCGGGGTTCAGATCACTGGCTGGCTTTGATGGACTAATATGGAGGGGGGGTTCGGTGATTGCAGGTCCTTTCTGACAACTTGGAAGACCGAGAGGGTCTTCTGGTTGCGCATATACAGAAATATCCAGCTGTACGTGGACTTTATTGAAACCACGAGGTTGCCACGGGAAAGTTCTCGACTAACATGAAGATTCGCTGAACAGGAGAAGGAACCTCTCAAAGACACTGTTGGGATCGTTGGCAAAGAGCCTCGGAGGGCCTCGGGGAGGACTTTCGTGCCAATAGGTCACATTTCGCTCAGACATATCCCAGACTTGAACACTCAGTTCTCCCTTCCCCAAGATACCATCTGGATCAAATCGCTCTATGTGTCATGGTAAGATATCCCAACCGTCCAAAGTTCTCTCACGACTTCACTCTCAAGACACTCACACGAACTGGTTTCAGGGCTCTCCAGGCTGGTGGGTTCGGCCGCAGCGCCATGGCACAGCTGGAGCGTCTGGCCGCGGCGCCACCGTACAATGCCTCAGTTGTGGCGCTCGACACCATCAGAAGGGACTACCACCTTTCGGAGGAGCACCTGCGCTGGCTCTACGACCGGAGAGGGCTGGAGAGGCCAAAGAGGCACGTCCCGACCCAGGACTGGTACGCCTCCCAGGGATACGAGCAGATCCCAAACTCGGCCGTGTCCTTCTACGAGAACAAGGGTGAAGACGGCAGCGTGCAGCATCTCCCGGTCATATTTCTAAGCAAGAAGCTGCCTGCAGATGGCTTGAGGAGCTGACTTGGGAGAGTTTCCTAGTTTCACCACAAGTAGTAGCTTTAGCCTTCGATAGATTGATAACGCCTTACGTACCAATACATCTCTCAGCCAGGGGGCTTGCTCGGCCAATAACGCATTGGAACAGCCCGGGAAACCGCTTGAATATCATACCCATCAAGTTTATATAAGCACGCTGCTAACCCATCCCTAGCGCAAGGGCTACATCCGTAGAGCGGCCGAGGGATTAAATCGAAGTGAATGAGGGGGCCACCCATCCCAACATTCCGCTGCAACTTGGGAGCTACTCACACAGGTCCTTACCCCAGGTTGGTTATTTTGGCTGTCCACTTGGGCTACCAACCAACACCGGTATCCGGTCGCAAGGGTCTGTATATGCGGAACAGTATAATGCGGGTGATGAACCTCCCACCCCTGTGCTCGCACAGAGAGCAGAAGAGATGGGCAAAAGCTTGGTCACAGATCCCATAGTTTGATCAAAGTTCTTCCATCTGCTCATGGGATTCCCATTCACGCCCAGAAAGGATCAATCAAAGAGCAATAAAGGCGTTTTGCCAAGTAGAACGGCGCTAGTGAGGGGGTAGTTGCTTTTCTGTGGTCAGAAGTACTAGTAATAATAAGGCTTGGCCGCCCATCTGTCGATCCCTCATTTTCCCCTTGGCAAGTGCCAACGCGAATGGAAGAGGAGGGTCTAGGCTCCAAAGAAGGGGGAGGCTGAGGTAAGATTGCGCGTTAAGCAACCGTCAAGGTCGCACGCTGAGAAGTGGCTATCAGAGGTCAAAATGTGAACTTCAGCATGTTCAAGAGGGCATAGAGCTGAGCTGGGCAAAAGAGGGATAGTTGCTGGCATTTCACAGTCTAAGCTGTCACCGGGGCTGCTGGACGAGGGAGTGGGACGAATGTTCATCAGGAGAAAAAAGAAGAAGATTAGAGTTCGAATAATGGATATAAGAGCGAATAAAGAGGAAGTAAAACCGTAAGAAAAAACCCATATGTAGCAAGAAAGAAGAAGATGAAAAAAAGAAGGCCTTTCCTGCCAAGCACAAGCGCAAATAAAAAAAAGAAGATGCGTGGTACGCGTGCCAGAGATTCGCGTACATGACATAGGGAACATTTCTGGGGACCTGGGGATATCAATTACCCAGTCCATCCCAATCATCTCCGTATTCTGCCCCGATCCAGGGTCACCTCTTGCTCCCGCCCTTTGTCCTCTTCCACTTTTTCCCCTTTGAAACAAGAATCCCTGTACACGAGTACACCGAGGATGTGTGGTTGTAGCGTGGCTCATTGCTGTTCGAGGCGGGATTGCAGAATGACCAGGTCGCTTTCAGCGCAGCGGTTGCACCAAAAGGCAAAACACACAAAGAGAAGTGTGAGACTTATCTGTGAACCCATCCAACGATGTAAAATAAAGCTAACGAGTGGTCGTGTGCATCGCATCGGTCGTCAAATATTCAGGACTGAAGTTGTCCTGTCGTAGGGAACCTCTTCCCTACAAAAATGCATGCTCCTCTCTTCCCAGGCCTTCTCTACCCTTCATTACATATACTCTTTATTTTTCAGTCTTTTTACATCAAGACACACTTGGAGCAGCATCCAGCCTCTCGCTCCTCGCCGTCCATGTCTATCGGCTTTGAGGGTCCGCCAGGTCCGGAGCTGCCGCCGTTGACGCCAGGAGAGTATCCTTGCAGCTCACGGTTGTATCTGCGGATTTCGCGGACGATATCGTAGAATGCCTTCTCGACATTCAGGCGGGACTTGGCCGAGGTCTCGATGAATTTGCAGCCGAATGAACGGGCCAGTGCCTCTCCCTCTATCCGAAAGAAATAAAACGTCAGTATGATAGGACTCGCGCTAGACCGTGGATAATTCGATTGGCGCCAACGTACCTTGCCTAGTGACCTCACGCTCACCCTCCAAATCGCACTTGTTTCCAACAACGACCATGGGGAAGCTGTCCTTGTCCTTGACTCTCAGAATCTGCTGCTGGAAAACAGTGATTTCCTCAAAGCTCTGTCGCGAAGTGATGGAGTAGACGAGCAGAAAACCTTCTCCTGTCCTCATGTACTGTTCGCGCATGGCGCTGTACTCTTCTTGACCGGCGGTATCGAGAACATCGAGCAGGGCGGTCTCATCGTCAATATTGCACTGCTTGCGGTATGAATCTAAGAAACTGTCAGCGATTGATAATTCTACTTGGCGTGAGGCCTGGGAATCATGTCGCAAGCGACGAATGAATTTCCGAGGTCTAAACTGATCGCCCCCTGAGCCGAGAATCCGATAGGCCCAATCCGGGCTTGAGCGACGCACCTTCAATTGTTGGATCATACTCGTCGACGAAATGGGCCTGAATCAACTGAATGGTCAGGCAAGACTTGCCGACACCACCGCCTCCGACAACGACGAGCTTGTACTCTCGTAGGAACTGCGAAGAAATCAAAGCATGTTAGCACACCAAGGACCGATTGGCCAGACCAGCGCTCGTGCCATTTGGCACTGGGTGGTTTGCGGATTCGAGCAAGAACTATGCTTACCTTTGCTGCTGAAGCCATCGCGTCTGCTGATTTCAAATGCGAATCTGATTTGAGGATGAAAAAGGACGGCGGCAGCTCAGGCAGCTGTCAAGAGCGAGCTCCAAGGGGGAAAATTGACTCGCGCTGGGCAGGGGGGCTGGCACCAGAAGCGGGCGTACAGTACGTCGCGTACAGTACAGTAGGGCGGGTGGTTAAGGGCGGGAAAATAGAAGGTTAAAATCGGCGGCCGAGAGGAGGGCGATGTCGAGAAGGCGTGAGCAAAAGAAGAAGAAAAAAACAAGTCTATGAGGTAGGGAGAGAACAAGGCAATGAGGGAAAGAGTTTTGAGAGAGATGAAGATAGCAGAATCAGAGACGAGAGCTGGGGATGATAGGGGAGAGGGAGAGAATGAGAGATTGGAGTCGGCAGATTTTAGAAGGAGTGGCAGGCTGGCTGGGTCAGGTTAGGTTGGAGGTACCTCACTGGACGAGCAATAACCTCCCGGCTTCAGGTAGTTCCTGAGATGAGCGCTGCTTGTTCAGTGGCCAAGAGACAGTGGGGATCGACATGGAGGTCTGCACCAATATGCTGATGGGCGCTGATTGGAGAATCGTGGGGCAGGTGGAGCCGCTGGCAAGAGAATGACCAAAGACGGTGCTTCTCCAGAAGTATCGCGATACCTCAGGCTCGCTATTATTAGCGTGGCTGGGCCAAGTACCTCCCTAGTCCGGAGCAAGTATTATTAATGTGCTAGAGGTAAGTCCGGTAGCCTGCCTAGGAAGGCAAGAGGGTATACCGCACCTCTGCCTAGCAACTACTTGTGCACCCTGGAAGGCACTGGCCATTCCCCAACCAATCGTCACAAAGATGGAAACATGGAAACGTGGGAGCAGGCTAGCTAGGCCCCTTTGGTGCTCTGGCGAGTGCACATGTGACAACCGGACACATAGTAGAGGTAGACGTAGGTGAGGTATGGAGGCTTTGTGTTCTGCCGGTCCTCCCTAGAGATGGAGGAATCCCGCCCTTTGGCGGCCAAGCTGCAGGAATTGGCAGCAGGAGGGAATGCTGATTAGCTCATTTTGTTCTGATGCGGGTCTTCAGGTCAGGTACATTATACTTGCATGCCTTCCGCTGTTAATAAGTTCGCTAACTGATTGCTAGCACGCCAGTCCTCACTTACGCTCAACCATAGCACATGGGCATGGACCGAGGATTCCACATATTTATCGCCGACTTCCTTTGTACCCTGCCATCCCCTGTCCGACCCCTGGTAGTGCATGAAAGTACCCGTAGGCACGGGCAGCGTGCCCCATTCGAAGCTATGACCACCACGAGCCATGACGGGATGGATGAACCGCTACTCTTCGAAGGATGGAGAGCACTATTCCTTGCACGCGGCCTCCTCTGAAATCGCGCGGTCCTTCAGCCTCTCCCCGCTCTTCCATCTCGCGATGCGGCGCTGGAACCCTAGAGGATAGGGCGGGCCGCGGACGAGGCCATTATGCGGCGGCCTACAAAGTACCTATATGCAGTGCTCGACTGTGACATCCAAAGGCGCGCGCTTGTCATGGTCGAATCGCCAGCCAGTCCTATCATGCGCATGGAGGTGGTGCGGTGCCTTTATTTAACTTACAGTGGTACGGCCCACGCGTACCAGCACCCGACCTTGAGGAGGTCCCTGGCCAGCTCGCCTCCCACACCTAACCTCCCTAACCTAGAAGATGCTAGTGCTACCTAAGGGAAGTGGTTAGTCCTCTCCAGGCTCCAAGGCTCGTGGACTTCAGGGGTGGTACAGTGATTAGACCAACCAGGTGGATTTGGAAGCCTGTGGGAAGAACTCTTCCAACGCATGGAGGCGGCAGAGCTGCTATTATTGTGCATCAGGCATCGGCAAGAAGGCTGCGTCGCCCTTCTGCCTGGTCCGTCCCATCTTGATCTGCCCCATGCTACTCGCTCTAGCCTGTCTATGAATCACGATGTGATCTACTGGATACTTGCGGCGGGAAGGAATAAGAAGCCATCCTATCGCGCTGCACGGAATACCGATGGAAGAATCTAAGCCAAGGGTACATAAAGTGCCTTTCAAACGGCACCCGGCATACCGTGTAGACATTTGCTCCAGAGCGCGCTTCGGGCAGGCGGCTTTCCATTGCGAAGCCCTCGTTCGCTTTATGATGTGCCGTATGAACTGGACTCGGGGTCAATATTCCTACGGAACATACAGGTGCCACCAACTCTGCTCAGATTACTACTAATAGCAACGCCTGCGAGCGAGTGTCCTGACATTCCTCCTGCGCTGCAACCACTCTCGTACATGGGTGTGTGTGTGAGGGTGTCTTGAGTAGGTCGGTAGTGCTGGCTAATTACACATGTTTACAAACCAAAATCCAGACTATCCTGTGCAGCTATGCTTATATCATGTGAGGAAAGAAAATTTTACTTTCTTTCGTGTCGATAGTTGGCTCGTGTCTAAGAGATACGCGAAATGAGGGTAGTTGAGATGAACATTGCCCAACCCCATCGAAGAGAGACCCAGCCAATTAAGCCGACCTGAGCTTCTAGAGACCGTCAGCCTGTGAAATTCCATATAATATAAACGTACATGACGACCCTGTCTTTAACCCAGTAAAACGTGGGTATCGTGAACCCCTGGCTGATCCATGTCCAAGGGCGGGACCGACACGGCACAGAGGCCATCCACATAGCCTCGTCCTCGGTTTAAACATTGCGGTGCCATCGTTTTACTCCAGATCTACTGCTCGATGCTGATACTTGACTTGTAGTACCGTTCTCGGCACCCATGAAAATGTGCTTTAAAGCATCTGGGTGCATCGGCATATGGAAAACAACCATGGCATGAACCATGTCGTTCACCGTAATAATCGAGATATCATGCTCCACTGCATTCTCTCTTACCTTCTCTTTCATATGACCACCGCAGATTTGCGTTTGTCAAGGATTCGAGTCGCCTGATGAGTCGGAACTGGTTCTCCGTTCCCTATGCAAGGTTTTATCTGACTGCTACTAATGGACAAGCCTAGTAGTTTGGCGTTGATGATCTACCGCATAGTCATAGATGGCATGGTTATCCAAACCTTTTGAGTTAAGACACTTCAGGTTGAATTATGGAGCAGCCAAGCACGACGTTGCCCTTGCCTCCTCACCCGCATTCCCATGCGTAGGGTCATATTCAAGCTCATAGGCATTGAGAATCTACATACTACTAAGGCTCAACCTCATCATCTACAAATATGTGCGTGTCCATATCTAAGCTATAACAAGTCGTGTTTTGCTATTTCACTTCCTCGGCTTCAGAATCATCCTCACCTTCCGTCTTTACTCGTCGCCCCTTCACGCCCGCCTCGACCTCGGCAACGAGACTCTCTAGTAGCGCTTCGTTCCTGATAGAAAGTCCGTTAGCATTCAAGCGGATGTACGGGAAGTTTAGGGTAGAGGCTTACTTTCCGACCAGTGTCACTGTGTTACGTGTCTTGCCCCAGCGAGGATAACTACCAACTTTGATTCCTTGAGGTTCGACTCTTTCCGCGAGCTGCGTCAGGTATGGTGCAACAGCACTCTCCGACATTGGCGTTGATATGATAATCCGGGTCGTTCCCTTGCCCTCTGGGTTTGCCAATCTCGGGAGCACAATGGGGCTCAACCCATCGAGGAGTTTCTCAACTATGGACAAAACGTAAGACCCAGGCCACATCTCTCCCAACGATATCTTGCTATACTTACATATACGTGGTACTCCCGGTAGAATGTGAATGTTACCATTCACAACAGCGACAGGAACCCAGGCGTCTTCATCGGAGAAGATCACCTGTTCTTTGAGATCCCGGGTGTCGTCCGTTGGCAGCTCTACCATGCGCAACTTAGCCTTCAAGGCAGGTGAGTCGACGTCCCAGTCAAATTTAGGTTGCGAGGGGTGGGGTTTGGACATCTGCTTCATCTTGTCGAACGCTTCAGCGTGCAACTTCAGTGGGAGGCCAAATGCCTTGGCGATGGACTGGTAGGTGATGTCATCGTGCCTGTCAAAATGATCAACATGCCATGAGTGCGATGAGAGAGATGCAGATCAATCTCACGTTGGTCCAATTCCTCCGCTGTGCGTACCCTGGTTAACTTCGTGTCATTCGATACAAGACAGTGGATGGTGGGAGTGCAAAGTACCTGGTCACCACAAAGTCGTATCGCTCACTCATCCTGCGAGCTGCCTCAATGATCTCGCTCTCATCATCTTCAATCACTTCGACCCGTTTCAGATTCTTCGGAAAAGGGTTACATTAGCCACCCAAATGCTGGCTAACCAGCCCCTGGCGTCGTAGATACTTACAATCCCTAGCTTAAAACACCACTTCGCAAAGTAGGCGGAGTTGGTCTAAAGCCCGTTGGCATTCGTTAGTCGATAGTGCAACACGAGGTGTCCTGGCGCCAAGTGATGCACCGACGGGGCTCTCTCACATCAACGGTCTGCGTTTCTGCTTCAGTCAATTGGTTCCCAAACACGGCCGGGGCTGGCGGTGTGGCGTACCTTTCCGCCAAGGACTTCGTCTCCAATAATCAGACATGCCGCCGTGTGAATTGTGCGCGCCTGGCGCTCTCCTGCAGAAACCACCATCTTTAATGCCGACGGTCGGTACAAGGAGGGGGCTGGTGACAGGTGGTGGGCGACTTGAGACAGACGGCGGAACATGTGAGCTCTGTAAGCATGCGATATGCAGGCCAGGGCTTTCGGCGAATGGAGGGTCGATCCTCAAGGAGACAGTGCGGAGTCGAGTCGGAACGTCGCAGAGAGGCAATACCTGACTTATATAAGGTGCTATTCCGAGACACACCATGCACGTAATAGACAGCATTTAGTGTTGTCCTGGGCCGAAGTCGCCTTGCTGGGCGACGCCAAGGAGGTAGCTCATCCGTAGTGACGGCACCACAAGATCCTGCAGGTAATGCATCTTGATGCCCGAAAGCTGTAATGGCCGGTGATCATAGCGATGTTCCTCGCTGCAATATCGGATCAAGTAAATACAATGTAAATGGCACGCTCAATTGGTTACCGAGTATGCATTGATATCGATGAGGTACTGGGTACTTGCTTATCGGTGTCGCTACTACCAGAGTCGAAGTACCGTGCAATCGCGGGGCTCGACCAACTTGCGTCAGACCAGCAGCAACCAACTCCCCACATCACCACGCATCTCCCTACCAGCGCCCTACTTCTCTGGTGATACAGTTCTCATTCCAACTCGATCCAATCAAGCTAGGAAGTCCGTCCTCCTACTATTCCATAACCATGGTATGCTGGGTAGCGCCCGATCCGAGAAACCTCATTCTCTTCAGATTGCTAACTCATGTTGTGCTTCAAAGGCTTCCGAATCCCGACTATACACATTCTCCGACGAGACCAAGGAGCATCTTCGCAAATTCCGACTGACAACCTCTCGAGCAAAAGGCCCGCAAGCGGTTATCTGTATGTCGATTTCGCCATCCGAATATCCGAACCGATCCTCTCAGACTCTGGCGTGACATTCTGGCTAATGCCGCCATCTATTTAGATCTCATTGACAAGAACACACATGAGATTCGCAAAGAAGATTCCACAGTCTATACCTCCCTCGAAGAGATCGCCGACGAGCTTCCCGACAACTCGCCACGATATGTCCTATTAAGTTATCCTCTGACAATGGTACGAGGCCAGACACCCCACTCATCGAACGCAATTCTAACATGCGTGCTCTGTTCTTAGCCGGATGGTCGTTTGTCCGTTCCATACGTTCTACTATACTACCTCCCCGACACTTGTAACGCTGAGATGCGAATGCTCTATGCTAGTGCAAAGGAGTTGGTGCGCAATACCAGCCAAGTGGGCAGAGTAATTGATATCGAAAGTACGGACGACCTTGACGAAATTCCAGAGAAGCTCAAATCGCAATAAGTATGATATTCTCCAAAGGCATATGGGATCACACATATACGAGCGAGTCCTTCCAATAAAAGTAGTGCATCAAAGTTTATAGAGATGTTCCTTTGAGATTCGTTGGTTATTTGTATTGATTTCCTTTCGTTTTTCTATTCTGGTAAGATGGATTTGGTATCAACTCCTAATTGCGCCGCCACTCCTCGTACTACCTGTCTAAAAGCTGCGCAGGCTGGGCTGTCAGGAAACGAGTCGAAATAGCTCTCACCGTAATCACACGCCATGCCAATTCTTGGGTCAAGAGGCACGGCTCCTAGAAAAGGAATACCCATCTCGTCTGCGAGGGCTTTGCCACCACCTGTGCTTGCTCTAAAGATTTGGCTCTCCCCCTTGCACTTGGGACAGACAAAGCCGCTCATGTTCTCTGCCAGTCCCAGAATCCTAATGCCTGCCTTTTTGCAGAAATCAAGTTCCTTTCGCACATCCAGGAGAGAGACTTCCTGTGGTGTTGTGACTACCACTGCCCCATCGATACCGCTTTCCTTGAGGAAAGAGTTGACGCTGAGATGCTCGTCGCTCGTACCCGGCGGAGTATCTACCAGCAGGAAGTCCAGATCCCCCCATTCCACATCCTTCAAGAACTGCTTGATCAGCCCGTTCTTCTTGGGTCCTCTCCAGATAACAGCGTCGTCTCTGTTTGGTAACATGAACTGTATGCTCATCACCCCCAGGTTATCCATCACCCAGACTGGTGACCAGCCGGAGCCGCTCACGTGGATCGTCTCGTCCTCCACACCCATCATCTTAGGTATGCTAGGTCCGCAAATATCAGTGTCCATGATTCCCACCATGCTGTCCGGGTTGGTCGCGAACGCATGAGCGAGCAGCGTTGTGAAGGTGCTCTTCCCCACGCCGCCCTTGCCGCTCAGGACCAGGATCTTGTGCTTGACGTTCTCCAGCCGCGCTGAGATGAGAGGGATGTCCGGATCGGGGCCCTTGGGCGCTGAGGCGCAGACGGCCTGGTTGGGGCATCCTGCGCATGAGTCTGCTTTCCCGGCTTGTTGAGACTCTGGGCCGGGGCAGTGTTCCGGTTCCGGCGCCACGAGCTGGGGCTTCTGTTTTAATGGGTTCGCCAGGACATTTTCTACTGGCTCTGGGTCCTCGAGTGAGGGCGCCATGCTGCAAATGTTTAATCCGGTTCGAATGAGTGGTGTATTGTGCTTTGCTGGGTTTATTTGGGGAAGTAAAGTGATTGAGATGAGGTGCAAGGTGAGGTGCGATATGAGAGTGGCGAGACTCAGCGATTCAGTCAAGCTTAATAATGCAAGAAACTACGGGAGTTTAATCTGCCTAGACTGGTACGTTGTAGCATATGCTCCTACCGGCTAGCGAATGAGAGTAAGCTAAGGTCATGAAAGACAGAGATCAAGTTCTAGCTGTGTAGACCCTATCAATGAAATTTATAGATCACAATTTGACGCAAGAGGGTGTCTGCAACTGAAACCTCACTGCCTCTTGTCTGATGAATTCGCCCTTCCCCACCCTTCTTCAGCTTGAGTAGCTACCAGGTGACACTAAAATCGATACACCAAAGGCCTGGTTCTGCTTTGGTTTTGGGGCTATGGCACGTTCTCTTTATTTTTGAGTTATATATAAGCGAATTAACAAATTTTACAGCCTGTATCGTTGTTTTATAACTTTTATATTGCTTTGTGGTTGTCCTTGTAGATAGCGCTCAGCTTGCAGTTGCTCGTCAATATAGTGTCTCATTTATTTTGTCCCCCTGCCGTAAGCATTTATATCGGATATCGGAGCGGCGCCATCGTAAACCGCCCATCAACCCACAATGACTAACAAAGAAACGGCGTCTGCATTCGGTTTACCGTTTTGTAAGACTAATATCTGTAAACCATTCGGGTATTTAGGTAACCTCCTAGTACTTAACGGATTCGGGTCGGACACAGGATCGTATGAACGAGCATCCATATCTTCATCGCCCGTAGCTTTACAGGTGTTTTCAACTAGGAATTTCATCACAAAATCAAAATTATACAAATGTGAAAGTAGCAATGAGATTACTGTTTCATTAGATTAAACAAAGGACGATATCACGAGAGGGATGGCCATATTGTTTGCTCACGACAATGAGGCCGTAGGGTAGTCAAGCCGAATGCGAAGAAAAAAATCGTTATCGCATATCACCCCACCCCCCCACCTATATTTTTCTTATTTGAGGCAGCGATAAGATCAGGGCTGGCTTTGCGATGAGACGATCTACTCACGAATAAACAAGTTTATAAGAAATGGCCGCCACAACTAATACCAACGCAAAAGATACCGTCGCCGCGCTGCGACAGAGTCTCTGCTCCGAGACCACTCCTCTGCCCCTGCGATTCCGTGCCCTATTTTCCCTCAAACATGTTGCGCAAACTTCAGATGACCCCGCCACAGCTGTAGCGGCCATCGAGGCCATCGCTGCCGGCTTCAGCTCGCCCTCCGCACTTTTGAAACACGAATTAGCTTACTGTCTTGGACAGACTGCCAACGTTGCCTCTGTCAAGCCGCTGCGCGCAGTTTTGGCCGACTTGAAGGAGGATCCAATGTGCAGGCACGAGGCGGCTGAGGCTCTCGGCGCTCTGGGCTGGGCTGACAATCTGGACATTCTCAAGGAGTACCGAGACCGCGCCGGGGAGGATATTTCCATTATTGAAACATGCGAGATTGCTATTGATCGCATTGAATGGGAGAACTCCAAGGCGAGACAGGAAGAGAAGTTGCGATCGAGGCAAGTGTGAATTCTAGCTCATGCTGGATTACTCAGTTATGCTAACTAACACCAGCGACTTTGCCTCTGTCGACCCGGCCCCCCCGATGCCAGAGTCTGGCAAATCGGTCGAGGACCTTGGCCAGGACCTGATGAACACGAAGCTACCACTCTTCCTCCGCTACCGAGCCATGTTTGCTTTGCGCGACCTCGCCTCCCCACCCGACCTGCCCACTGCCGTCCCCGCCGTCCTCGCCTTGGCAAAGGGCTTCGAGGATAGCTCTGCCCTTTTCCGCCACGAGATTGCCTTTGTTTTCGGCCAGCTGTCCCACCCTGCTTCAATTCCAGCTCTCACGGCTGCTTTGAGCAATGTTGACGAGGCAAGCATGGTGCGACACGAGGCTGCGGAGGCACTGGGTAGCCTGGGCGAGGAGGAGGGTGTCGAGGAGACATTGAAGAAGTTCCTGAAGGACAAAGAGCGAGTCGTCGTGGAGAGCGTTATTGTGGCGCTCGACATGGCAGAGTACGAGAAAAGCACGGATACGGAGTATGCGCTGATTCCCGAGGTTGGAAGCGCTTCGGCATGAATATAAAAAGGCATCATTTATTCAGCGTAGATTGGTAGATCGATTACGGTCGGAACGGAAAAAGCATGTTTTGATTTTAGTTATTCTCGTGCCATCTGCTCTTTTGTTAGTGCTACTCAGCGAACCGCTATGAATGATCATCACGTACGAATTACCGCATTTACACAGGTAAATGACAGTAGATCCTTCATCAGCACCACGTAGCTGAACGTTGGTGTATGTGACCTCTTCTCGACCGCATTTCGGGCACTTCTCGTGGACAACGCTGTCGGTCTGAATCTCGTGTCGCACCACGTTTTGGACGCTTGACTGTAGTTTTTGACGGAGGAATGATGGGAAATCAGCGGGCTTGCTGCTCGTTACAATCTTCTTCGAACCGGTATCTGTGATAAAGGTCAATTGTGCTCCAGCGTCCAATGGTGATCGGACGAGTACTAACCTTTATTCTCCGCACCGCAGCACTCGCAGCGAAGAGTGTTCCTCTCACTCCCTCTGGTGGATGGCAATAGATTGCCGCAATCAACGCAGAAGACCAAAGACCCGATTGCAGCCATGGTGATATTTTGAAACACCGCGGTGTGGTAATTCTCCAAGATCTGGGGATCAGCGCCAACTTTTTTTGCGACGAAATCTGATGCAAAATTTGGGCGGTGACGGAGGCAGGAAATATGATAAGACACGTAGATAAGCTCAACTAGGCTAGAGCCCAGGAGGTTTGGTGGGGCGGGATTAACATGCGTCCTGAAGGTCCCTGGCCACTACGCGTGCACGGACCATGAGCAGCCTCTGAGCACCCCAGGTGCAAGGCTGGGGGAGTCTAGCAGCTCGAACCGTGATCATCTCGACATCAGTCCAGGTCTCGCGTTGGATTTGTTATTATGTTTGTTACCCGTGCGCCTGACCACGCCAATCAGTAACCTGCATGGGAATCGCACATCGATACAACCGCGAACGAGCTCCCTCGGATTCACTTTGCGACGGCCGAATCGATCGAATGCGACAACACCCGGGTCACTCCTTCCTTGCCCTTGACCATGTACACTCAACACATCTTGTCGATTGAAGGAACTTAAAGCAATGGAGCGGCCACAGCCACTCCCCACGGTGGCGGGGCCTCCAAATGGGAACTCTGCTCAGCACACGTCAGGCGACCTGCCGTTAACCTCCAAACCTCTTACTTTTCGCGAGTCGTTACCGTACTCGCCACACATCACCACCCTTCCACCTGTACCTGGTTCGTATCTCTCTCCCGACCGCGAATCGGCTTAGCGCCTCTCTTCAGCAGTATACGCTGACATTACAACTTTTCAGACCTGGTTCCTGATGCGACACTTGGCTCCGGTTACCCAGCCCCAGGACTCAGAGACCTATTCTCCAGCAATGAGCTTGATCATTTGAACAGGGAAGCGATTGCTCAGGGCCACCTGTCCAAAGGCGGGAAACAGCTTGTTGAGAACATACTCCACGAGATGAAGCCCCCTCAGCGAACGAAATAGTATGAATAACCCTTTTGTTCTTGCTCGCCCCTTCCTCCTGCCTGCGTGCGTATGGTCACGGTTTGCTAATGGCTACTTGCAGCAAGTTTCGGGCTGTGCCTGGCATGACTTCCTCCTCCAATGCGACCAAAAGTATACACCAGGAGTTGACTCCAGTTACTAAAGTGCTATATGAGCGAGTGGGCGACTACTTCAAATCTACAAAACCGAACTTGCCAAGCTCGTCCCTGAATGGACAAGTCAAGATCCAACCAAGCGAAGGGCCCTCCCCGACGCAGCCCTCAACTTCTTCTCTTGTCAAGAACCAGAACAACAACTCACGCGCACACCCATTGAATTCGAGTCGGATCGAAGTTGCAATCCCTGCTAGAAACACCTTTGACGCAACGGAATATGCCGATCACCTCGCCCCAACTCCTTCAGAGCCTTGGACGAATGGCCCGATTGAGCAGATGCCACTGGGCCCAAGTCATGCTACGCCTTTGAGCCTAGCACCCGGTATGCTCCAGTCACCGGAAGAGTCGAAAATGCCCGCTTTCCACATTGAGCTATCGTCTTCAAATATCAATAAAGATGAATACATGGAAGTCGCAGAATCTCTGGCAACCCCACAGAACGTATCACGCCGGAAAGAGCGACAAGACATACAAACCAACCAAACATTTGTAGGAGAGTCTCTCGACCACCGGCAAAGAGCGCAATCAGCCCTTGTAGAGCTGCATCGCCGGATGCAAGGTTTAAGCCAGGCAACTCGCGCTGCTTTCGAGATGCAGCCCGGCTTTGAGAGTCTCGTCACCCTGACTTCAGAGCAAGAACCCACAATGACAGGCGAGGAACAGAAAAAAATGCATACAGCTATCCAGAAAGTCATTTCTCTTGGGGTTTTTAGTAGTGTGCCTGTAGAGAACCTCAGCCAAGTTCTCCGGCTAGGAGAGCCCAGTTTGAAAGAGGCTCTTGCTCTCGATACACAGCTTGACCAGGAGTGGGATGAGGCCGCGGTTGATTCATGGATCCAGCAATTGTCGACTGTTGACACTGCACTCAAAGCTGCGCGAACCAGCTTGCGTATCATTTGTGGTGGAAGAGAAGACCGCCAGCTCTACTCGGAGAGCATCATTGACCAGAGCGTCAAGGTGTTCCAGAAGACAACTGACGAGATAATAATTCCTTTGGCAGAGATGCGTAGCTCAGGGCCCTCATCAAACATCTTCAAGTTGCTTTTCAAATATAAGAGGGAAGTTTCGCTGGTGTTCATCAATGCACAGAAATTGATCAACCTTGTTGCAGAATTGGTTGCCAAGGTACAGCTCTCTGAGCTGGCTATCAACACGATCGAGTTTGTGGCATCGACACTCATTTTTGTGGACAATGCATATTACGAAAAGGACTCGATCATGGGAGTGCAGAAATTCGATGGCATCAGATCTGCGGCGATTGATACTCTCTGCCAAATCTTCTTGGTTAAGCCAGAACAGAGACAAGGAATTTTGAACGAAATTCTAACATCCCTCTCCAAGCTTCCCGGCAGCAGGCAAAGTTCCCGCCAGTACAAACTTTCCGATGGATCTAGCATCCAACCCGTTTCGGCACTTATTATGCGACTGGTTCAGGCGAGCTCGGCGAGACCAGACAAAGGTAAAAATCAGCGTCGGGCTGCTCTCGTCCAGTCCATGGGGCCCGAAGAAGATAATGACTTGGACGAATTGCAAACTTCCCCGGAACGAAAGGCCCCCGGAGCATCTATCAACAGCGAAGAACAGGGAGCACAACAGCCTGATGTCGCTATACAGGAGCTCGCAGCACTTGTGCAATCCCCCAGCGAAGATGCCCAAAGGAATGCTTCTATGGTTGTTAACTTTCTTGTCCAAAGAGCTGCTGGCTCTAGTAAGACGGGTGAGACTCCATTCAGAAACATTCTCGATCACTGCGTCGAGGATTTCACCTTGTGCTTGGAGCACATCGAATGGCCTTCTGCAGAGCTTTTGCTACGCTGTTTGATGTCCTCTAATGTCCTACTATTCGAGGCTGAGAAGACACCTGCACCCGTGAAAAACATGTCACTCGAAATTTTGGGCAATATGAGTGCTGCCATCTCTCGTCTTCGGTCGCAGGTTAAGAGAACAGCGAACTCATCCGAGAGCAACAACGCAGATGAGTTGGCGCAGTTTCTTTCTGATCTGGCTAACCAAGCTTTGGATAAAGAGGCTCGCATGGAGCTTGTTCTGTCTTGGACTGGGCCATATCGTGTCGTGTTGGAATCCTTGCAAGCGTCGAAGTCTGCAGACTCTCAGCAGGCAAGCGCTGCTTCATTCCTTTTGACAACTTGGGCTGGCCGTATTCATACATGCTTTGACAACCTTGATGAGGGTGATGAATCTCGAGAGAAAGAGCTTGGAAGCCTTGCTTACCGCCTTAGAATGATGGTTGATGATAGCACCTGGCTCTCTAGCCAGTTCGAGTTCAGTTCCATTTCTGCCTACCATACGAAACTTGGCTATGCGATCATCCTTCTAGGATTGCCTCTTTGCGAAGCCTTTGAAAGGATGCTGAGCATCTTGTTTCGCTCCATGACTAGCGACCAGGCGACAGTCAGGAGCAAAAGTTTGAAGAGTATCAGTTCCGTTCTCGAAACCGACCCATCCATCTTAGATGGAGACTCTGCGGTGGTGGATCGTATTCTGGAATGTGCGCGGGATTCCTCAATCCAGGTTCGTGAATCGGCACTTGGTCTCATGGGTAATTGTATTCAGATGAGGCCCCGGTTGGAGTCTGTTCTTACACCTCATATCATGGATCGAGTGTCGGATGCCGGTGTTTCAGTTCGTCGGAGAGCCATGAAGCTTGCACGCGATGTCTATCTCCGGAACCGAGACCGAAAACTTCGTAGCGATATCGCAAGTGGCCTCCTTCGACGGATAACAGCAGATTTGGACGAGGGTGTAAGAGAGGCGGCCAGGCAGATGGTGGAAGAAATTTGGTTTGCTCCCTTCTTTCAGATGGAAGATACAGCCGTTTTCCAGACGACACTTGCAGAGCACACAGCTCTCATTATTCAGACCGTTAAGCTGGGTGGAGTGAGTGAATTACTCGACAAAGTCTTCCAAGCCATTTTGAAGGCTGAAAAGAAGGGTCCTGTTGGACCTTTCGAGGTTTGCTCAAAACTTGTCTCAAATGCGTTCAGCTTTGTCAACAACCCCGAGACAGAAGATGAGCCCTCTGTTCCATCAGGAAGAGATGCCTTGCAGATGCTTACAATTTTTGCAAAGGCAGAGCCCAAACTATTTACTTTCGAGCAGATTCGTCTCCTCAAGCCTTTGCTAGCAAGCTCCAACAACAAAGATGAGCAGATAACGTTTAGAGCAGTGGTCGTCATTTTGAAATCCGTTCTCCCGCAGCTCTCCACCGTACACAACGACTTTATCATTGAGCTTAAAACCACCCTGGTTCCGAAAATGGGCAAGACGGAAAACCGCGCCGTCCTAGACGAGATCGCAGCCTGTGTCCGTGTGGTTCTGGATCTATTGCACGACATGGGGCCAATGGTCTCGTTGACCAAATCTGTTCTGATCGGTCTCAAAAAGCTGCAGCCTCCATACAAAATTCAGAGCATGCAGGATATAAAGAAGCTTCGCTACTTCTCTTGGCTTCTCGCTGCAGTGGCGCAACATTTTCAACTTGATGAACACATTGGCGTTCTCAAAGCCATTTTCAAAGATTTCAAGGGTGATTCTGTTGCACGTTTGATGGTTGATTACCTTACGCCCTTCACCGCTGGAACTCAGCAATCCGAAACTCGAAAGGCTGCTATCGATGGAATTGCCTCTGTTTGCCAAGCCTGGCCAAGGAATTACACACTTCCCAAGGTGTGGACAGTCTTCCAGCAGGCTTTCCATGATGAAGATCAACCTTTGGAAAATATCATTTTGAAATCATTCAAAGAGTTTTTAATCACCGAAGAGCGTCGTTCTGAAGCATCGAGCAATACCGCCAACGCCAAGGAGAAAAAATCTCTCACTGTGATGGGAGGCACAAATTTTGATGATGTTGCCAGTGCCACA